TCTTTTAGTGAGGTCTTCTCCTTGTATTTACTGTTTGGCTGAGCAAAGTTTTAATAGTATTGGTTAGAATAAATCCCATTATCAAACACTCTGGACGGCGTGATGTAAATAAGAGAGAGAGAGAGAGACGCTGACGCATTTTGGCTCAGTGCGCTGGTGTGCAATCAATGGAATACATCACAATACTCATCAAACAAGATCCATTCAGTTTTATCATTGGAGGAAATGTTTATTAAATTAGCAATTGGCACCTTGACAAAACACTGGATATAGAAATCCTAACAATAGTAGGCTAATATAGGCTAACGTGGACATCCCTTGGCCCGTGGGGATATCAGGTATAATCTATTGTTTATTGCTTAAACTGGATTTTTGACATTCCTGTGGACTCGAGCCCTGGTCAATCTAGTTCAATACAGTTCAGTTCCTACGCAGCTTTAACTTGTGCGCTTGCCTTACCCAAACGTCCAGTAGATCGAACCAGCCTCAATCATACGAACATTAAAAGGAACCTCATGTCCTTCGTATTATCTCCGCTTTAACAAAAGCTTAAGGCAGGTGAACAGAAATTGTTCTGTCATTTTATGTTTCCATATAAAAAGTAAGACATGTTGTTCATAAAAATGGCCAAAATTGCCTATATTTTGGGCAACAGAATAAAAATAATGGATTAAAATGTATGGTTTCATTTTATTTACATATTAGTAACTAAGATTTTAGCAGATGGGATTTTGGATATATTGTTTAGTTTTTCAATTGACTAATCATAATGAACAAATCTGTAAAAACTCCAATTCCGCCTGTTTTTTTGGGTTCAAAGCTGAATAAATCAGGCTAGGCTATTAAAAAATCCCTCTGAAAAAACCTTCTAAATATTTTTACGTCCAAGACTGGAAAGTTTTGGAGTCTGTATGAGCGACTACAAAGTTAGATTTTCGTCACCCTAAACGGCAGGAAATCACGCTCTTTTTCGGGTATCTCAGGCAGTTAGGGTGCCCTGTCCTCCAAACTGCCGTATCCGTACCATGCTAATGTCCCTACTTTGCAAATGAATGCAGCGAAACACTGCGGCCGCCGAGCGCTAATGGCCCTAATTAGCATATGAATGCAGCAGCATTGGCGGATACCACTACTTTCAAACTCGTGATTGGCTGAAAAATCCCACGTGGCCAGCCCACGTGGGATTACTCCCAATTAGTAGCTTACTCCCCATTGGATGAAATCACTACTTTCAAATAAGTATAATCTCTCGTGATTGGCTGGCAGATCTGTCACTATTGGTCACCCTGCCTCATAATTAAAGCAGCAGTAAGCGATTTTTGGGTGTTAATATACGTCTTAAATATTGATATATTCCAATAGCCATCACTTATATAGAGTGTTTGTACCTAAACACGGATCTCTCAGTCCTTCCAGTCTTCTCCCACATATTTAATAAAAAAACCTCACATCCTATGCGCTTATCCAATGACGAGAGAGCACGCCTTATAAGGGGTTTCTCCCGTGTGTGCACGCGCACTCTTCAAAACAAACATGGCGGAGAAGGAAAAGCCGCCTCCAGCGCTGCTGCAGACTAAATACCATGGATTTATTAAATACAGGCAAAACGCCAGAAACAGAGGAACGACAAAAAGTAGGAGCAACATGGTGACCAGCTGCATTCATGTTGGCGACCTCTAGCTCCGTGGATTCCTCTCTCCGACTGAACAGCTGAGCATGTTACTCAGTAGTGGCAGTAGTAGTTGTTTTATTTATACATATTGTTGCCTGAGACTGTAATGCGGGTTTTCACCAAGTTAGCTAGTTAAAAATCCCCAGCTGTTGTAGAAATACGGCCGCATTTTGTGGCAATAACTGCGCATTACCTTGGCTTAGCTTTGAGAAACAACAACAGACAACACAACATCGAAGCCTTAGCCCAGCCTCAGCCATCCATAAACTCCGGTCAATTATTAGTTCCCCACATGTACAACATTAAATGACCATATCACCAGAGTTCCCCCGTGAAGTGGTGTTAGCATTAGCGTTCGCTGTTAGCATTAGCGTTAGCTGTTAGCATTAGCGTTAGCTGTTAGCATTAGCGTTCGCTGTTAGCATTAGCGTTCGCTGTTAGCATTAGCGTTAGCTGTTAGCATTAGCGTTCGCTGTTAGCATTAGCGTTAGCTGTTAGCATTAGCGTTCGCTGTTAGCATTAGCGTTCGCTGTTAGCATTAGCGTTCGCTGTTAGCATTAGCGTTAGCTGTTAGCATTAGCGTTCGCTGTTAGCATTAGCGTTAGCTGTTAGCATTAGCGTTCGCTGTTAGCATTAGCGTTCGCTGTTAGCATTAGCGTTCGCTGTTAGCATTAGCGTTCGCTGTTAGCATTAGCGTTCGCTGTTAGCATTAGCGTTCGCTGTTAGCATTAGCGTTCGCTGTTAGCATTAGCGTTAGCTGTTAGCATTAGCGTTAGCTGTTAGCATTAGCGTTCGCTGTTAGCATTAGCGTTCGCTGTTAGCATTAGCGTTAGCTGTTAGCATTAGCGTTCGCTGTTAGCATTAGCGTTCGCTGTTAGCATTAGCGTTCGCTGTTAGCATTAGCTGTCTGTAGTTGTGAATATGATGTGGCTGCTACGAACACTTCTGATCAGGGACGTGCGGTGAGGTTTGTGATTGGGGAGGCACTGACTTTAAAAGTCAGATTTACAATCATTATTCAAATAAAATAGCATTTAATCACCAATGCAATGACATCCACAAACTTTATATACTGTAAAGATAAGAGAACCAGCTTCTTTTAATAATCTCACAACAAATCTAGCTGCTGACTCTGCTCCGCATCAAACAACATCTTTAAGAAGCGCAGGTGCGAGAGACGCGAGGAGAGAGAGACGCGAGGAGAGAGGAGCAGAGAGAGACAGAGAGGAGCAGAGAGAGACGGAGACGCGAGGAGAGAGAGACGCGAGGAGAGAGGAGCAGAGAGAGACAGAGAGGAGCAGAGAGAGACAGAGAGGAGCAGAGAGACGGAGACGCGAGGAGAGAGAGACGCGAGGAGAGAGAGACGCGAGGAGAGAGAGAGACGCGAGGAGAGAGGAGCAGAGAGAGACAGAGAGGAGCAGAGAGACGGAGACGCGAGGAGAGAGAGACGCGAGGAGAGAGGAGCAGAGAGAGACAGAGAGGAGCAGAGAGAGACGGAGACGCGAGGAGAGAGGAGCAGAGAGAGACAGAGAGGAGCAGAGAGACGGAGACGCGAGGAGAGAGAGACGCGAGGAGAGAGAGACGCGAGGAGAGAGGAGCAGAGAGAGACAGAGAGGAGCAGAGAGACGGAGACGCGAGGAGAGAGAGACGCGAGGAGAGAGGAGCAGAGAGAGACAGAGAGGAGCAGAGAGAGACGGAGACGCGAGGAGAGAGGAGCAGAGAGAGACAGAGAGGAGCAGAGAGACGGAGACGCGAGGAGAGAGAGACGCGAGGAGAGAGAGACGCGAGGAGAGAGGAGCAGAGAGAGACAGAGAGGAGCAGAGAGACGGAGACGCGAGGAGAGAGAGACGCGAGGAGAGAGGAGCAGAGAGAGACAGAGAGGAGCAGAGAGACGGAGACGCGAGGAGAGAGAGACGCGAGGAGAGAGAGACGCGAGGAGAGAGGAGCAGAGAGAGACAGAGAGGAGCAGAGAGAGACAGAGAGGAGCAGAGAGACGGAGACGCGAGGAGAGAGAGACGCGAGGAGAGAGAGACGCGAGGAACATAAACAATAATTTAAACAAGTTGCAGAACTCTTGAGCAGTGTTTGAATCAGTGTTTTTCGGAAAAGCACTACTTTGCCGGTATCTGTCAATGTTCAACATAAAACACAGATTAACAAACTCCTCCCCCGCAGCCGGACTAACCTCGTAAGTCCAGTGGTGGTCTCCCAGTCTATATTAATTCTTTCTTTGTTTGAAAGTCCAATTGAGAAAAAAAATCTTCATTCAAATCATCAATTTTCCAGCAAAAGAAATAGCATTTTGGGCTGATTGTTTGTTAGCAACTCTGGTATGAACTTTATGCTCACTATCACCCCTAGCGGTGAGGCACAGATACCGCCTGCCTCACGCCAAGCTTTTTCCTTGTGTGTTCATCTACGATCAAAAGACTTAAACTAAATATAAATTGTACACACATACGTGCAATACACTACTAAACACTAAGAGGAGTTTAAAAAATGTTTTTAAAAGCAGGATATTTGAAACAAACGGTGATATATCAACTGCACGAGCTGAGTGCACTCAGACACACACACACACACTGTGAGGGAGCGGTCTGAGGTGAGGCACGCAGGAGCGCTGCCTCACCTCGTCTCTTTGAATAGGAATAACGGGATTTCGGCGATTTTGACTTCAGAAATGATCAAAACTGATGGGAACCGTGCCGAATATACATTAAAAGCATAGGACAGTGGATATAAATTATATATTTAAACTAAAATAATTATTAGTTTCCAATAATGGCAGGTGAGGCTCTGCCTCCCCTGCCTCCCCTGACTGCACGTCCCTGCTTCTGATCTGTATGAATCGTTTGTTTTTGCCAATAAACATAGTTGCTTGCACTATATATATATATGTAGGTCTGCATTTCATTCTTCAATGACTAAGTTTTTCAACTTGCACTCTGTATATTAGTTTTATTGTTATAAAAACAATATCTCTTTACCTCAAATCTAACTTCCGTGACCACTACATACATTTTTATTATTATGTATTGAGAATAAGTAAGAGTCTTGCTGACTACTACCAAATAAATTATGAGCATGATATAATATAGACATTGTAATAATTTACATGTCTTCATTGCATTCTTTTCTCTGTATCTTTTCCAGTATGGCCTAAATCAATTGGAATGAGGTCTTCAATGTACAAGAGTTCAAAAGCCTCCATAATGCAAGTTAAATAACTATTAAAAAAAAACAATGCCATAACGACTAGATACTTTTCTGCTGACCTCTTCTTTCTCTAGTATTGACTGCGAAGACAAGACTTTGCTTCCAGAATTAGAAGATCGGCCATTGTCATCTCCTGAGGAAGACTTTACACCCCACATTTGTCATGTAGGTTGTTGTGAATGCATATATGGGACGCAGTGATTATGATAATGATGTTGTGATGTGTGTGTCGTTCATCCCTACAGTTGTGTTGCTGCCCTGAGGTCCAAAATGAATATCCATCATGTTCCAGGAGTCAGTGTTGACAAAACTGTCGCTGAGTTTCTTCAACAATCAAGAGGAGTGAGATAATCACTCGACTCCCAAAACAGCCGATGTAAGTGTCTTTCTCTCACAATGCACAGTCTCTCACAGTCCAAATAAACATGTTCAAGGATCCTGTGAATCAGGGGCCACTCCTGGTGATCAATAAATACTACTGTTGTAGATCAGGGGCCACTCCTGGTGATCAATAAATACTGATGATGTTGATGATGAATATATCAAAGTCATATTTGAGTAGATAAAACTGATGTCTCTTCTATTATGTTTCAAAGGAAAATCTCTGCCAGAGGAAGACTCCAGTTCCTTCAACCTGGGCCCCTGAAGCGTGGCTGTCTGTGTGTGTGACTGTGTGTGACTGTGTGTGCTTGTGGCTGTGTGTGCGTGTGACTGTGTGCTTGTGGCTGTGTGTGCGTGTGACTGTGTGCTTGTGGCTGTGTGTGCGTGTGACTGTGTGTGACTGTGTGTGCGTGTGGCTGTGTGTGCGTGTGACTGTGTGTGCGTGTGACTGTGTGTGCGTGTGGCTGTGTGTGCGTGTGGCTGTGTGTGCGTGTGGCTGTCTGTGCGTGTGACTGTGTGTGCGTGTGACTGTGTGTGCGTGTGACTGTGTGTGCTTGTGACTGTGTGTGCTGTGTGGCTGTGTGTGCGTGTGGCTGTGTGTGCGTGTGGCTGTGTGTGCGTGTGGCTGTGTGTGCGTGTGGCTGTGTGTGCGTGTGGCTGTGTGTGCTTGTGGCTGTGTGTGCGTGTGGCTGTGTGTGCGTGTGTGCTTGTGGCTGTGTGTGACTGTGCTTGTGACTGTGTGTGACTGTGCTTGTGACTGTGTGTGACTGTGTGTGACTGTGTGTGCTTGTGACTGTGTGTGCGTGTGGCTGTGTGTGCGTGTGGCTGTCTGTGCGTGTGACTGTGTGTGCGTGTGACTGTGTGTGCGTGTGACTGTGTGTGCTTGTGACTGTGTGGCTGTGTGTGCGTGTGGCTGTGTGTGCGTGTGGCTGTGTGTGCGTGTGGCTGTGTGTGCGTGTGGCTGTGTGTGCGTGTGGCTGTGTGTGCGTGTGGCTGTGTGTGCGTGTGGCTGTGTGTGCGTGTGGCTGTGTGTGCGTGTGGCTGTGTGTGCTTGTGACTGTGTGTGCTTGTGACTGTGTGTGCTTGTGACTGTGTGTGCTTGTGACTGTGTGTGACTGTGCTTGTGGCTGTGTGTGCTTGTGACTGTGTGTGCTTGTGTGTGCTTGTGGCTGTGTGTGCGTGGCTGCTTATGAATTATTTTGAGGAAATGTGTTCAAACAAACTACAACATAAAGATGAACATTTTGTTAGATATCTCTGTCAGTGTTCGCTGCAGCAGCGATGGATAAGGACCTGGATAATAACAGTGTTATTCATTTGAGCAAAAAGTGATAACACAAACGTTGCCTTACCATCACTTGTAATTATTTGTCTTAGTAGGGACATTGTGTATATTTTTCCGGCTATAACTTCAAATCTTCTTTTACATAATAAAGTTTCTTAGACTCGTTACACACTGTATTTGTTTTCCTACTATAAAACAAAGCACATTGAAAGAGGTGAATGTATTTTTTTTTATTTTGAAATAGTACAACTACAAACATATTTCAGAACTGCAGAGTGGACGTGCACCATGGGGGCCACTGAGGACGTGCACCATGGGGGCCGCTGAGGACGTGCACCATGGGGGCCGCTGAGGACGTGCACCATGGGGGCCGCTGAGGAAAGCACGTTTTCAATGTCTGTTGGCACCTTTCACAGACGCATCAGGGAAAGGATCTGGTCATCAGCTTCTCTGGACAGAGGGCGTTCAGTGCTTCCTGAAAGAACCGTTATGACAAATGACTTTATATATTCTGTTACTTGTAGCTTTTTCTTTCAAAGTGGTGAGTTTCCTTACAGTGTAATAGTGTAACGTAATTAGTTATGACAGTACTTTTGCGTTTCGGACAAGCTTTACTGGAATTGTTTTTCAGTCCCACATCTCACTGTACAGCTCTGATACACTTTGATTTTGTCTTCATTCTCTGAACAATAAGCACATAATACAGATGTTGATTACATCAATAAATGTATCTTTATTTTGTGACATTGAGAAGGCAGCTTCCAGTGAGATGCAGCTTTACTTTCACATAATACATTACTACAGTGTTGTCTATAAAGAACTCCAAATATACAAATTGTGAGGAAAGCAGTAATGTATTACTTTAAATAACCTTCATGTAAAGCTTTGTTGTTGTAATGTATATGCATTACATTCATCTAATACATTATGCACTGTAACAGATGTTACTGTGCATAATGTTGAGACACGTCACACTGCAATCTGCAACATTATGTTTATCACAACAGTTATCAGTGTGCCAACTATAAAAGCAGTATTATTCTATAAAAGACTGGATTGTTTTTATCTCTTTCTTAGTGATGCTATCCTAGCTAACACCAAGCTGCTTCCAGTGTTATAGCTAGGTTACAACTGAGCTATTCTATGCTAATATTTCACTCCCAGAGTTTGTTGTTAATATACTTACGAGTAGACCTGACGGAGATGAACATGCTGCTGCCATCACCAAGACGATGCGCGTTCATGTGGTGTGACGAGGAGACGGGGGCGGGGCTACTAACTCGCTCAGGCAGAAGAAACTGCCGGAAACGACCAAATCGCTTACTGCTGCTTTAATGCAATATTTATATAAATATGTATTAATTCATATTATGCTGCATATATTTTATCCTATGTAGGCTACTACACTATTATTAGGCCATCAATGACATGAATGAATTTATAGAGGAAATGAAAATTTTCCAGGAATATGTATGTCAAGAAAGCTTTATTAAAACACACACACACACAGCTTTATGCCCACACTTAGGTAATTAAAAAATTACAACTCTGAACTGTCCAATCGCCTCCTCGGGGTTGTAATTTGGCGGCGTTCTAGAGAGACGCTTAATGTGCGTGGCTCTGTACGTACAGTTATGATTGGTATCTATACATATCCATTACCGACACAAAACATGTGTAGATAAACCAAATTCAATTTCCATGGATACATTAACAATACTTACATAACCTTTTTGAGAAAGAAAGTTTTCCCCCCATCATAAATTTGTATTAGCAATATCGTGAGAATGTGTTTTATGTTTAAAAGTGTTGCTACTGAATGCTATTTCAAAGTAAGTGGTATAACTGGTATAACTTTCAAATTGTTAGAATACTCATTTTGAGTAATTTTATTCGGTAGAGTTACTGTACACTTCAAAAACTCCGCCGAGATCGGGAGCGGCATGAGGCTGCGTCAGCCCTCGCTACAACAGCAGCGTCTAAGAGCGCCTTTTGAGTAGCAATTTCTATCTGAAATCTATCTGTCCTAAAGACAGAAGAGCCTGTGCGCATCATGAAGAAGATGACATGTCTGGGATCGCGTCTTAAATTCAGACAGAAGACATGTTTTATTGTCGATGGTAGAGACAACACGAACAACAGATACCACAGAATGCAAGTGTATTATACAGAGCGGAGGCATGGAGACCTCCAATCAGCAGCTGCCACAGTGCCATGTAGCTTGGCCTTCAGATAGACACAACAAGGGAAAAGTACTGGCTTCTGCACATTGATAGAATGATGAGTTTAACTTTAACAAAAGTTGCTTAAAAGTGTTATGAAATCTCACAATCATGTGACTTTGATTTTCAACAGGAGTTTTCCTCTCATTCTGATCAGAGGAGCGAGGGGAGAAGCGTCTGTGGCTGCCCCCTCCTCTGCCGCTAAACACGTGGATGTGTGTCTGACAGGGAATTTACACAGTAGGCGTAAACAGCGCGTACGCCTTTACTGCGCGCTCTCTGCGCGTAACATTTTTTTGGAGTGTCTAACAGGCCGTGTGCGCAGGTCCTTCTGATGCTGTCCCTGTGTAGTCTATGGAGCAGTGTAGAGGACAGTACAGAGACTGATGCTGTCCCTGTGTAGTCTATGGAGCAGTGTAGAGGACAGTACAGAGACTGATGCTGTCCCTGTGTAGTCTATGGAGCAGTGTAGAGGACAGTACAGAGACTGATGCTGTCCCTGTGTAGTCTATGGAGCAGTGTAGAGGACAGTACAGAGACTGATGCTGTCCCTGTGTAGTCTATGGAGCAGTGTAGAGGACAGTACAGAGACTGATGCTGTCCCTGTGTAGTCTATGGAGCAGTGTAGAGGACAGTACAGAGACTGATGCTGTCCCTGTGTAGTCTATGGAGCAGTGTAGAGGACAGTACAGAGACTGATGCTGTCCCTGTGTAGTCTATGGAGCAGTGTAGAGGACAGTACAGAGACTGATGCTGTCCCTGTGTAGTCTATGGAGCAGTGTAGAGGACAGTACAGAGACTGATGCTGTCCCTGTGTAGTCTATGGAGCAGTGTAGAGGACAGTACAGAGACTGATGCTGTCCCTGTGTAGTCTATGGAGCAGTGTAGAGGACAGTACAGAGACTGATGCTGTCCCTGTGTAGTCTATGGAGCAGTGTAGAGGACAGTACAGAGACTGATGCTGTCCCTGTGTAGTCTATGGAGCAGTGTAGAGGACAGTACAGAGACTGATGCTGTCCCTGTGTAGTCTATGGAGCAGTGTAGAGGACAGTACAGAGACTGATGCTGTCCCTGTGTTAGTCTATGGAGCAGTGTAGAGGACAGTACAGAGACTGATGCTGTCCCTGTGTAGTCTATGGAGCAGTGTAGAGGACAGTACAGAGACTGATGCTGTCCCTGTGTAGTCTATGGAGCAGTGTAGAGGACAGTACAGAGACTGATGCTGTCCCTGTGTAGTCTATGGAGCAGTGCAGAGGACAGTACAGAGACTGATGCTGTCCCTGTGTAGTCTATGGAGCAGTGTAGAGGACAGTACAGAGACTGATGTAGAGCAACACAGATCACATGCATGTGTTTGTCCTCATGGTCTCTCTGTACAGGATTTTTTTTACTTCATAATATTTTTTTGACAATGCTTTTGTCAAAAAGTGAAAGTCCATCCATCCATTTTCTTCCCCATTTCTGCAGATTAAAGGGTTGTACAGATTGTGACAAATCTCATAACGACAAAGACACAATTCGGCCGCAGCTTTAATATATCATCAGTCAAAAGTCCATCCACGGTATTTAAATCCTATTTCTGTTTTAAAGTAAATACGTTTGTGTTTCTCTCTCCGCTCTTTCGCCTCCCCCGGAGTCTGCCACGACACCCACCGATCGCACTCATCAGACCCCTGCTAAGCCTGCTGTAATTAGCCTCTGGAAGATATGAAATTGTATCGGGTATTTCTCTTCTTTTAGCTGTCACCGAGCTCCACTTTCGCCATTATCTCGATGACTGC